TGTCCATGGTGGATCATACAGGAGATCCCACCTTGTAGGGACTGATCACCGGCCGGCTGGTTGAAGGTCAGGGATGGGATGTCCATGGAGGATCACACAGGAGATCCCACCTGTAGGGACTGATCACCGGCCAGTTGAAGGTCAGGGATGGGATGTCCATGGAGGATCATACAGGAGATCCCACCCTGTAGGGACTGATCACCGGCCGGTTAAGAAGGTCAGGGATGGGATGTCCATGGTGGATCATACAGGAGATCCCACCTTGTAGGGACTGATCACCGGCCGGTTGAAGGTCAGGGATGGGATGTCCATGGTGGATCATACAGGAGATCCCACCTTGTAGGGACTGATCACTGGTCGGTTGAAGGTCAGGGATGGGATGTCCATGGTGGTGGATCATACAGGAGATCCCACCTTGTAGGGGGAACTGATCACCGATTATAAGAACTGTCTGGTAATAAGGGCCGGTTGAAGGTCAGGGATGGGGGATGTCCATGGTGGATCATACAGGAGATCCCACCTGTAGGACTGATCACCGGCCGGTTGAAGGTCAGGGATGGGATGTCCATGGAGGATCATACAGGAGATCCCACCCTGTAGGGACTGATCACCGGCTGGTTGAAGGTCAGGGATGGGATGTTTCATGGTCCTTCTATTTATAATCCCACCCTGTAGGGACTGATCAATTCAAGAACTGTCTGGCCGGCTGAAGGTCAGGATGGATGTCCATGGAGGATCACACAGGAGATCCCACCTTGTAGGGACTGATCACTGGCCGGTTGAAGGTCAGGGATGGCATGTCAGGCATCATACAGGAGATCCCACCCCGACTACCCTGTGTAGGCTGATCACGGCCGTCTGTGGTGGGTGGGTGTCCATGGTGTGGTCATGTGTGTGCGTCTTGTGTGTGACGGTGTGTGAGTGCGTGTCTGTGTGTGTGCGCGTGTGTGCGTGTCAGGGACTCCAGGGACAATCCCAACACTACAGACAACCCTGAGCTCTGAGGTAGGGACCCCTACCATCCATTCACCAGAGACAGTCGATGGGCCCATCCATTCACCAGAGACGGATCGCAGAGCCCATCCATTCACCAGATCACGTCGCTGAGCCCATCCATTCCCCAGAGACGTCGCTGATATTTCACCAGAGACGTCGCTGAGCCCATCCATTCCCCAGAGACGTCGCTGAGCCCATCCTGCACCAGAGACGTCGCTGAGCCCATCCATTTACCCAGAGACGGACGCTCGCTGAGCCCATCCATTCCCCCCCCCCGACGTCGCTGAAGCCCATCCATTCACCAGAGAGTCACTGAGCCCATCCATTCACCAGACACATCCCTGAGCCCATCCATTCACCAGAGACATCGCTGAGCCCATCCATTCACCAGAGACGTCCCTGAGCCCCATCCATTCACCAGAGAACGTCGCTGACCCATCCATTCATCAGAGACGTCGCTGAGCCCATCCATTCAGAGAGACGTCCCTGAGCCATCCATTCACCAGAGACGTCCCTGAGCCCATCCATTCACCAGAGACATCGCTGAGCCCATCCATTCACCAGAGACATCGCTGAGCCCATCCATTCACCAGACACATCGCTGAGCCCATCCATTCACCAGAGACATCCCTGAGCCCATCCATTCACCAGAGACATCCCTGAGCCCATCCATTCACCAGACATATCGCTGAGCCCATCCATTCACCAGACACATCGCTGAGCCCATCCATTCACCAGAGACATCACTGAGCCCATCCAGAGACATCACTGAGCCCATCCAGAGACATCACTGAGCCCATCCATTCACCAGAGACGTCGCTGAGCCCATCCATTCACCAGAGACGTCGCTGAGCCCATCCATTCACCAGAGACGTCGCTGAGCCCATCCATTCAACAGACACGTCGCTGAGCCCATCCATTCACCAGAGACGTCCCTGAGCCCATCCATTCACCAGAGACGTTCCTGAGCCCATCCATTCACCAGAGACGTCCCTGAGCCCATCCATTCACCAGACACGTCCCTGAGCCCATCCATTCACCAGACACATCGCTGAGTCCATCCATTCACCAGACATCCCTGAGCCCATCCATTCACCAGAGAGATTGCTGAGCCCATCCATTCACCAGAGACATCGCTGAGCCCATCCATTCAACAGACACAACGCTGAGTCCATCCATTCACCAGAGACATCGCTGAGCCCATCCATTCACCAGAGACATCACTGAGCCCATCCATTCACCAGAGACATCACTGAGCCCATCCAGAGACATCACTGAGCCCATCCAGAGACATCACTGAGCCCATCCATTCACCAGAGACGTCCCTGAGCCCATCCATTCACCAGAGACGTCCCTGAGCCCATCCATTCACCAGAGACGTCCCTGAGCCCATCCATTCACCAGAGACACGTCCTGAGCCCATCCATTCACCAGAGACATCCCTGAGCCCATCCATTCACCAGAGACATCGCTGAGCCCATCCATTCACCAGAGACATCGCTGAGCCCATCCATTCACCAGACACATCGCTGAGCCCATCCATTCACCAGAGACATCGCTGAGCCCATCCATTCACCAGACACATCACTGAGCCCATCCATTCACCAGAGACATCACTGAGCCCATCCATTCACCAGAGACATCCCTGAGCCCATCCATTCACCAGACATATCACTGAGCCCATCCATTCACCAGAGACATCGCTGAGCCCATCCATTCACCAGACATCACTGAGCCCATCCATTCACCAGAGACATCACTGAGCCCATCCAGAGACATCACTGAGCCCATCCATTCACCAGAGACATCCCTGAGCCCATCCATTCACCAGAGACATCCCTGAGCCCATCCATTCACCAGACACATCCCTGAGTCCATCCATTCACCAGACACATCGCTGAGCCCATCCATTCACCAGACTCATCACTGAGCCCATCCATCACCAGACACATCACTGAGCCCATCCAATCACCAGACACATCACTGAGCCCATCCATTCACCAGACACATCGCTGAGCCCATCCATTCACCAGACTCATCACTGAGCCCATCCATACACTGAGAGCGCCCCCTGTCTGTTCAGCAGAGGACTGCGCCATCACTGGGACACTGTGTGGATCATACCACCCTGTTGATGTTGGGGGGGGGGGGTGTTCCTGGGACACTGTGTGGATCATACCACCCTGTTGATGTTGGGGGGGGAGGGGCGTTCCTGGGACACTGTGTGGATCATACCACCCTGTTGATGTTGGGGGGGAGGGGCGTTCCTGGGACACTGTGTGGATCATACCACCCTGTTGATGTTGGGGGGGGAGGGCCATTCCTGGGACACTGTGTGGATCATACCACCCTGTTGATGTTGGGGGGGAGGGGCGTTCCTGGGACACTGTGTGGATCATACCACCCTGTTGATGTTGGGGGGAGGGGCGTTCCTGGGACACTGTGACACTGTGTGTGGATCATACCACCTGTTGATGTTGGGGGGGAGGGGCGTTCCTGGGACACTGTGTGGATCATACCACCCTGTTGATGTTGGGGGGAGGGGGCGGTTCCTGGGACACTGTGTGGATCATACCACCCTGTTGATGTTGGGGGGGAGGGGGCGTTCCTGGGACACTGTGTGGATCATACCACCCTATTGATGTTGGGGGGGGGGCGTTCCTGGGACACTGTGTGGATCATACCACCCTGTTGATGTTGGGGGGGAGGGGCGTTCCTGGGACACTGTGTGGATCATACCACCCTGTTGATGTTGGGGGGGAGGGGCGTTCCTGGGACACTGTGTGGATCATACCACCCTGTTGATGTTGGGGGGGAGGGGCGTTCCTGGGACACTGTGTGGATCATACCACCCTGTTGATGTTGGGGGGGGGGGTGTTCCTGGGACACTGTGTGGATCATACCACCCTGTTGATGTTGGGGGGGAGGGGCATTCCTGGGACACTGTGTGGATCATACCACCCTGTTGATGTTGGGGGGAGGGGCATTCCTGGGACACTGTGTGGATCATACCACCCTGTTGATGTTGGGGGGGGGGGTGTTCCTGGGACACTGTGTGGATCATACCACCCTGTTGATGTTGGGGGGGGAGGGGCGTTCCTGGGACACTGTGTGGATCATACCACCCTGTTGATGTTGGGGGGAGGGGGCGTTCCTGGGACACTGTGTGGATCATACCACCCTGTTGATGTTGGGGGGGAGGGGTGTTCCTGGGACACTGTGTGGATCATACCACCCTGTTGATGTTGGGGGGGGGGGCATTCCTGGGACACTGTGTGGATCATACCACCCTGTTGATGTTGGGGGGAGGGGCGTTCCTGGGACACTGTGTGGATCATACCACACTGTTGATGTTGGGGGGGAGGGGTGTTCCTGGGACACTGTGTGGATCATACCACCCTGTTGACGTGTGGGGGGGAGGGGCGTTCCTGGGACACTGTGTGGATCATACCACCCTGTTGATGTGATGGGGGGAGGGGCGTTCCTGGGACACTGTGTGGATCATACCACCCTGTTGATGTTGGGGGGGGGGGGGGGGGGTTCCTGGGACACTGTGTGGATCATACCACCCTGTTGATGTTGGGGGGGAGGGGCGTTCCTGGGACACTGTGTGGATCATACCACCCTGTTGATGTTGGGGGGAGGGGCGTTCCTGGGACACTGTGTGGATCATACCACCCTGTTGATGTTGGGGGGGGGGCGTTCCTGGGACACTGTGTGGATCATACCACCCTGTTGATGTTGGGGGGGAGGGGTGTTCCTGGGACACTGTGTGGATCATACCACCCTGTTGATGTTGGGGGGGAGGGGCGTTCCTGGGACACTGTGTGGATCATACCACCCTGTTGATGTTGGGGGGGAGGGGTGTTCCTCTGGGACACTGTGTGGATCATACCACCCTGTTGATGTTGGGGGGAGGGGCGTTTCCTGGGACACTGTGTGGATCATACCACCCTGTTGATGTTGTTGGAGGGAGGGGCATTCATGCACACAGTTGGACGTTCCTTCACTCTCTTACCTGCTGAGGACTGGGCAGCCTCCTTCCTGGTGGATCTGCTCTCCGTGAAGAAGGTGGGGCCATCGCTGAGCGTCTTGCACCCGGTGTTGGCAGACATGGGGCCCCGACAGTTGCCTATTGCACTTGTGAAGAGGTTGGTGTGTTCATCGCTGCTGGCCGGCTCGGAGCCGGACGTGAAGCCGCTGAGCGAGAGGCTGGGCGAGCTGTTGGAACAGTCAATCTGCAATGGAGTCTGAAGTCCCAAAGCCAACAAGCCCGCCTCAGGGGCCTCCCTCCGGACCCACTGCTCCTCTCGGCTCAGCAGTCCCTTGGCAGGAGTCAGGTGACCGCAGGAGAGGTGACACCGGTGTTTGTCTTTGTGTTTGTACCGCTCCCCGATGTTGTCCTTCCCAAACCTGTAACGTTTCAGGGACTCCAGAACCGTCCTAGAAGAGCCAACCCCAGCCAAGGGATCCATGGAGAGCTGCGGCTGGTCTGATCGGTGTTCCCGGTGTTTGTGGCGGTGGCGGTGTTTGTGCTCCACCATCCAACCGTAGGCCATGTCTGGGGGGACGGTGGGGTAGGTGCCCACAGGAAGGAGAGGGGTGCGGCTGGTGGTCAGGAACGCCTCTTGCCGCAGGAGCTTGTGTTTCTTCTTATGGTACTTGGCAGGGTTCAGCAATAAATGGCCTGCATGCATGTAGGAAGGGGGGTGCAGTGGGGTGGTGAAGGAAGGAGAAGGTGGAGGGGGGTACAGGGTGGGGGGGGTACCGTCCATAATAACTTAAGCCAATGGGGGCTGCAGTAATGGGGGAGGGGGAGTAAGGCATGCTGTATGAAGGGTAGAAGCCAGTGCTGGAGAGGGGAAAACCGAGACTGTGGACAAATGGCATCTCCGACATGGAGTCCCGCATCTTGGGGGGCCGCCCCCTCTTCTTCTTCAAGTCCGGCTTCCGGATGTAGTGCAAAGGATCCAAAGGAAAGGTTGGGTGACTGTAGAAGCTGTTGAAATTGAGGCGGAATATGGTAGGAAGCAGATCTCGGGGGATGAAATGGTGACCCCGGTGGGAAATGTGGACCTCACTCAAACGCGTTACAAGCTCCTCCAACTCAGCCAGGAAGTCCGGGTCCTGCCGGGCGCGCAGCTGCGGGTACTTCTTTTTACGTTTCCGCCGCTTGAGCTTGTCGTAGGTGAGATAGTCATGGCTCCTGTGCTTACATTTGTGCTTGTGTTTCTCTTTGAGGCCGCTAAGGACCGGCGAGGCCTGAGGTGCAAGAAGAGCAATGTGTTCGAAAGAATGGCGTCTCTTCTTCTGTGCGCAAAACTTCTCCGCCCGGTCTGACGTGCTGTTGTTGTCCGTCCCGATGCCGCTGTCGCTGGGGATGGTCTCATCGCTGTGAGACTCACTGATGGGAGAAGAAGTGGCTTCCTTTAAGGAAGGGATTTCATTGAGGTGGGAGGGAGAGTTTGGCAGCAACGCTGGGGGTGACAGTTGTCTGCAGTCCTTGGAGGCTTTCCTCATGGCAAGGGTCTGAAGGAAGGTACCTTGCCTCGAGTGTGGGTGGGGATATGGCACGGGGCTGGGCTCCACAAAACTGGCATCACTGCTGATGGGACTCTGGGCGCCACTGGCTCCAGGCGAGAGGGAACTGGCTGGAGAAGGAAGAACCTCGGAGCCAGGTATGTTCTGGGATATGATGGGTGCTACACCTTGACCCAACGTTGGGTGAGCCTCTTGCTGGCCAGCTTTTTCTAGAGAACTGACGGAATTTTTGGTCATGATGCTCTCTGATGTTGACTTGGGCTTCCTGCCTCTCCTCTTGCCCATGTAGATGGTGCCTTTCTTGCTGACGTTTATTTGCTGACCCAGTTTAGAAGTGAACGTGGCGGCAAGCGTTGATACCGTACCTTGCAGCTTCACTGGAGTCTTCCCTCTGGAGCTTTGTTCAGCCGCGCCGGAGAGGATCTGACTCAGCAGCTTCTTCCGTTTAATAGTCTTCATCTTATTTATCTTCCGAATAATATTCTTCACTAGTTGCCCGTTGTTTTTCTTCAGAGATTTCTTGTCCGCCTCCGAGCAGTTGCTGCCCGCGTCGTCAGCATGGAGTCTGCTGTTCACATGGTCATCGTTCTGTTGCTTCTCGTTTTCACATTCAGTTTGCTTGTGATTATCGGTCACCAGAAAAGGTGCGACGGAAAGGACAGGCGGCGTTCGCATCGGGGCAGCCGAATCCCTCCGCGGCCTCCCTCTCTTCCTCGGAAACACCGGTCTGGGAAGGTTGGTTTTTAGAGACGGCATCTCGATCTCTGGCTGGAGAACAGGAGGCCCTTGCTCTTCTTTGGACTGCGATGAGGCTACTTTAAAAGCTGGGATTTTAAGTGCTCTTTTCGGGGGACCCTCCAGATGCGGCATGTCCTTACTTTTAGGCTTTCCTCTCTTAGGTTTGTAGGAATCGGAACCATCGGTGGGCATACAAACCATTCGGTAATTCCTATGGGAACTATACAGTTTGGGGTTCTGCTTGTGCGTTTCGTTGATGGCTCCTTCATTGGACATGCTTGCTTTGGACAATGACTTGGACAGTTGACCATGAACTGAAGTTTTCCCCCCAGCTTTCTCAGGTGTGCCCCGCTGAGACCTATCACTGACCACTGAGGCTGGCCTTCCCACGCCATGCTCAGATGATACTTTGGGGTGCTGGATGGTTTTGTTGGACACTTTGGTCCACCGCGGCTTTTTACCTTTCCTTTTCTTAAAGTGTTTAGTCTGCGAGTTGGTGCTTCCATGTTGGCTGCTGTAAGGCGGCTTTTCCGAGAGGCCGCTGACCTTCACCAACTGTTTTTTCCTAAGTAAACTTGCAAAACTGACAACAGATGGGTCTGAGCGGTGGCTGCCAGGCTCCACCCTCTGCGTGGGCTTTTTGTCTGGTACATGGGGAACATGAGTCCTTAAATTCTCACTGGGGACACTTTTCGCCTCTTTGCTCGTCTTTTCGTTCTGTAAGAAGTCCAGAGATTTTTGAGGGATTTTATGAGCCCTGTTAGCGGGTAAAGTGTCGGATGTAAACTTGCTTTTGTCGCTTGGCTCATCAATACATTCCACACGCGTTGCGTCAAGAGTTAAGTGCAATGAACTTGAGGGGGATTGGGGACAATTCACATTTGAACTCCTACTGGAGGATGTCAGAGACGTCGCTGGTGCTGGCGAAGGTAGATTACCCTCCCCGACGGCACTGAAAGGTGACACGGCTGCTGACGCGTCCGACGCACCCCCCTTCCGATAGTCCAATGAAGTGCAATACACAGGGCAAAGCTTTTCAGGCATTTCCGCAACAGGGAGACCTTTCTCAGAGAGGGAACCTTTCTCCACCGGGATGGAAGTCCTGTTATTACATTTCTCTTTCTCACCGGTGGATCCCTCTTTCCTGATACAGAACTTTTCCAAGATGCTGTCCTTGGCCTGCCGTACGTTAACCCTCTCCGAAGCTTGACTGTTCATTCTTTCCTCCGAGCCCCTGGATTTGGAAGGAGAGCTCAGACGCTCTGTCGCAGGAGAGTCATCTTTCGGCATTGCCCGTTCTTCCAAGGGCAAGCTGACCGGGGCTGACGATGCCTGCTTTTTGGCTCTGATTTTGGAAGACTTGGAAGGAGGGCATGTTGCGATGAGCTGAGCGAGTTTTTCAGTAACGCTGGCGGCTGTGCCGTTCACCGGTACCCTGTCCTTTGAGTCAGGGTCTTTGTTACTGACAAGTCCAGGTGGTGATGCCTTGGTGAGCTCAGCCACTTCTGAGTGCAAAGGTGAAGAATTCTTTGTAGCGGGGACCTTCTCCTCCTCGGAGCGGACATGTAAACACTCTGCCTTCAGGCCGTCGTGACTCGGGTTCTCTGCAGACTTCTTAGACGATCTGGAAGAGTCCTGGAAGAGAAAACACAAAATAGAGATTTAGAGGAGCAACCCGCCATTGTGTGCGCCATCATCATCTTCATCCTGACCATTCACCAATCTACAGGCCTGAAGCCCAGGAACAGGCCCGGCTGAGACTCACCGGAAAATGAAAGCTAGATTAAATCTGGATGACCTTCGCCAGATCCAGCAAACGTAAAAAATCTGGCCTATCCGCTACTCCCATACAAAGGATTGTTGGAAAAAGGTGAAGAACGGGGAGCAGATCCCTCTCACTGGAAGGAGAATTCTCTCCACCCGTATTCGGCAGCCAGCTGGGTTTGGCTGTACGTGACGGAGTTGGCCTAATCCTTGCCAGTTATTTATGTAAATAAACGTGGCACCTTGTTTCGTTTTGCAGGCAGGCAGGGAGGGAGATGGTGGCTGCGGCGTTCCGCTGCTTGTTTTGTGTACGCTAAGAACAAGAGGGGGAAAAAAAAACCCTACAGAGGAATTCAAAGCTTGAGCAGAATTTGCATAACAGCAACCGCTGCCATGGAAAAACTGGGCAGCGTGCCAAGCGTTGTGTCCGCGCCACCAATGCACAACACCCCTCTAGAAAACGGATCCGCGCCTTCCATGTAATTCAATCACCAGCCGCGCTGGCTCTCCTCTCTCTGACACGGAGATTCTGATGGCCTCAGGGTAAAGCTTTCTCTCTCACAACCGCTGGACGCCTCTTGGTGGGAAAGGTAATGACTGGAGGAGGACACGGGGGGCTCTGAAGACCACAGCTGTGCGGAAGGGGAGGCTTGGGGCTGTACAGAGACTCACCACACCGACTTCTGCTCCCAAGTAGATGAACTGGAGGAGGGAGAAGATCCTTCATCTCCACCTCCATATGACAACAAAGACATAAGGGAGCGTATTGAGAGACCGGACCAGAACGTCCCAAACCACAAGAACCGGAACCAGAGATCAGTGGAAGGGGAGGCTTGGGGCTGTACAGAGACTCACCACACCGACTTCTGCTCCCAAGTAGATGAACTGGAGGAGGGAGAAGATCCTTCATCTCCACCTCCATATGACAACGGAGACATAAGGGTGCGTATTGAGACCGGACCAGAACGTCCCAAACCACAAGAACCAGAACCGGACATGAGTGGAAGAGGAGGCTTGGGGCTGTACAGAGACTCACCACACCGACTTCTGCTCCCAAGTAGATGAACTGGAGGAGGGAGAAGATCCTTCATCTCCACCTCCATATGACAACAAAGACATAAGGGAGCGTATTGAGCCTCTGAACACCGGACCAGAACGTCCCAAACCACAAGAACCAGAACCGGACATGAGCGGAATTCCTAAAGTTTGATGGCTTGGGGAGAAGCCAGTAATATACAAAATGAAACAAATACTCCATAGCAACCAATCAGAAATGGTACAAGTGCTGTATGTGGTTCCTAACTGGTTGCTATGTGATCCTGCACCACCATCATGGCCCTCTGCACTCTCCTATAGTGCCTAATGGTGGATCTGAAAGCAGGCGCCCAGTGTCGGCCGTGCTACACGTTTTCTGGGCATCAGTCGGAAGCATGTTGGATATGGGCCCGCCTCCATTATGAATGAAACACAAGAAGGAACGATCCGATTGGTTTATGGGAGCAGAGATTTAGACCTGCTCAGTCATGGCGTGCTGGGAGGGGCCAAGCAGGATGACCTCATTTTTGTTCTTCCACGAGGGTCTGTCACTGAAGCCTGGGGACCCCAAAAATCAGACCTTCCATGTTTCATAATGGCGGGGAAATGGAATGAGGTCTGCTATAAACAGTGCCCCATGCAGGAAAGGCCAGTCATTACAGGTGGTGGTAATGGAGCACGGAGAGGACAAATATCAAACATGGGTTACATATGGATCGCACATGGGTGGTACATGGATAACCAATGGGTAGTACATGGATCACCAATGGGTAGTACATGGGTCACATATGGATCGCACATGGGTGGTACATGGATAACCAATGGGTAGTACATGGGTCACATATGGATCATACATGGGTGGTACATGGATAACCAATGGGTAGTACATGGGTCACATATGGATCATACATGGGTGGTACATGGATAACCAATGGGTAGTACATGGGTCACATATGGATCACATATGGTGGTACATGGATAACCAATGGGTAGTACATGGGTCACATATGGATCATACATGGGTGGTACATGGATAACCAATGGGTAGTACATGGGTCACATATGGATCATACATGGGTGGTACACGGATAACCAATGAGTAGTACATGGATCACCAATGGGTAGTACATGGGTCACATATGGATCGCACATGGGTGGTACATGGGTCACATATGGATCATACATGGGTGGTACATGGATAACCAATGGGTAGTACATGGATCACCAATGGGTAGTACATGGATCACATATGGGTCGCACATGGGTGGTACATGGATAACCAATGGGTAGTACATGGGTCACATATGGATCATACATGGGTGGTACATGGATAACCAATGGGTAGTACATGGATCACCAATGGGTAGTACATGGATCACATATGGATCGTACATGGATGGTACATGGATCACCAATGGGTAGTACATGGGTCACATATGGATCGTATATGGATCACACATGGATTGTAAATGGATTGTACATGGTTCATACATGGATCACACATGGAGAGTACACTGATCACGCATGGATCATACATGAGAGTACACAGATCAAGATGGATCGAAGAGTACACTGATCGCGCATGGATCACACAGATCAAGCATGGAGAAGAGTACACAGATCGCGCATGGATCACACACATGATCACGCATGATCATACATGGAGAGTACACTGATTATACATGGATCACACATGGAGAGTACACAGATGACGCATGGATCATACATGGAGAGTACACAGATCACGCATGGATCATGGATACACTGATTATACATGGAGACACACATGGAGAGTACACAGATGGATCATGCATGGATCATACATGGAGAGTACACTGATCACGCATGGATCATACATGGAGAGTACACAGATCACACAGATCATGGATCATACATGGAGAGTACACTGATCATACATGGAGAGTACACTGATCACGCATGGATCCTACATGGAGAGTACACTGATCACGCATAGATCATACATGGAGAGTACACTGATCACACATGGATCATACATGGAGAGTACACTGATCACGCATGGATCATACATGGAGAGTACACTGATCACGCATAGATCATACATGGAGAGTACACTGATCACGCATAGATCATACATGGAGAGTACACTGATCACGCATAGATCATACATGGAGAGTACACTGATCACGCATAGATCATACATGGAGAGTACACTGATCACGCATAGATCATACATGGAGAGTACACTGATCACACATGGATCATACATGGAGAGTACACTGATCACGCATAGATCATACATGGAGAGTACACTGATCACGCATGGATCACACATGGATCAGGCACACGTGGGACATGCAGAATATACTACACGGGAGGAAGAAGGATGAAATATGCAGCAGAAGAGGGGAACACACAATGAACATGGCGGAGTCCTCCTCAGCCATTCATCTGATTGGTTGTTTCCTCCTCCAGTAATGTGGAGCCTCATAAACTGCTGCCTGAATCGTCTGAACTAGGTCAGTTGTTACCATGGAAACCACCTAAAGTTGCAATGAGATACAAACTAATGTGAACATTTCCTCACGGCAACTAAAAATATAAGTGCGTCTGCAGGTAACCGAGACTGCCAGACTCCATAAATCCCGAGACATGGAGGCCAGAGCAAAGAGAGGCCCCATGGGGGCCCCATCAGTCCCAACCAACCACATGTGACCTTCAGTCTGTACCATCTCCGCTACATATCCTCCTCCAACACCGGGGACAGAGGAAAGCCCCATAACCAATCATCAGTCCTACCCAACCACATGTGACCCCCAATCTGTACCATCTCTGCTCCATGTCCTCCTCCAACACCGGGGACAGAGGAAAGCCCCATAACCAATCATCAGTCCTACCCAACCACATGTGACCTCCAATCTGTACCATCTCCGCTCCATGTCCTCCTCACACCGGGGACAGAGGAAAGCCCCATAACCAATCATCAGTCCTACCCAACCACATGTGACCCCCAATCTGTACCATCTCCCGCTCCATGTCCTCCTCCAACACCGGGGACAGAGGAAAGCCCCATAACCAATCATCAGTCCTACCCAACCACATGTGACCCCCAATCTGTACCATCTCCGCTCCATGTCCTCCTCCAACACCGGGGACAGAGGAAAGCCCCATAACCAATCATCAGTCCTACCCAACCACATGTGACCCCCAATCTGTACCATCTCCGCTCCATGTCCTCCTCCAACACCGGGGACAGAGGAAGCCCCATAACCAATCATCAGTCCTACCCAACCACATGTGACCCCCAATCTGTACCATCTCCGCTCCATGTCCTCCTCCACCGGGGACAGAGGAAAGCCCCATAACCAATCATCAGTCCTACCCAACCACATGTGACCCCCAAACTGTACCATCTCCGCTCCATGTCCTCCTCCAACACCGGGGACAGAGGAAAGCCCCATAACCAATCATCAGTCCCAACCAACCACATGTGACCTCCAATCTGTACCATCTCCGCTCCATGTCCTCCTCCAACACCGGGGACAGAGGAAAGCCCCATAACCAATCATCAGTCCCAACCAACCACATGTGACCTTCAGTCTGTACCATCTCCGCTCCATGTCCTCCTCCAACACCGGGGACAGAGGAAAGCCCCATAACCAATCATCAGTCCTATCCAACCACATGTGACCCCCAATCTGTACCATCTCCGCTCCATATCCTCCTCCAACACCGGGGACAGAGGAAAGCCCCATAACCAATCATCAGTCCTACCCAACCACATGTGACCCCCAATCTGTACCATCTCCGCTCCATGTCCTCCTCCAACACCGGGGACAGAGGAAAGCCCCATAACC